AAATGGAAAAATAAATAAATAAATAAAAAATCCTTTCAAAAGAACATGGAAGAAAACAAGGAGGATCTTGTTTGACTTCCCAAAACGTTCCTCTTTCCTATTATGTTTGCTTTGTGAACTCCCATCTTAGAATTTTCTGAAAATATTTTCAGAAAGTAAATACTTTTTCTTCTAATAACATACAAAAGTTCCTTCCATTTCCGTTCTACTGATTAGAGAAATGGCTTTTAAAATTGCTCAGTACATGAAAATAGACACAAATTATCAAAGAACATAATTTCTATTCCATTGCATAAATTATGTGTTCAGGTAAAACTCAAACAGCCAACAATTTTCCTTGCATATGGTCTGATTTACCACCAACGCAATCTAGTGGGCTTTCCACTGAGACGGCTTCCCTCTCCATGTGACTGTGTCAGTCACTGACAGTGAGTCAGTTCACTGCAAACACAAAAAAAGCAGTACTTTTCTGCTGGATCACCCAGCTGCAGTGATTCATTCTACAGCTGTGCAGGCAGGGGTAGGAACAGCAGAAACCTGTGGTCTGGTACAGTCAGACAGAAGGGGAAGAAAGATCAACCTTGTGGCAGCAACTCTCTATTAGATCAGTTTATCTGTAATGCTAAATTACACCCTCTGGAGCTTAATTGGGAGCTATGTGGCGCCAGATGTTTTTTAACACAGTACTTTATACGTAGATCTTAGTTCCATTTAAATTGATGGGAGGCTATCAATTTCAGTGACTTAGGATTTTACTTCTGTGTACCTAGTGGTATTGAAGTAATAAACAGTAGTGTAGACTCCTAGGTGGCTGGATTAATTAACAAATATGACACATATAATAAATAAATACTAATAAATATACATTTAATGGATTTAATTATACTCTGAAACAATATGCTCTTTTTAAAAATGAAAAGTTGATATATAAGAACATATGCATCCCTAAACTGCAAGCTTTTCAAAGCATTCCATGTATAGCAGGAGAATACCAACCTCGGCTCGGAGAGCTAAGCACCAAGATCTTCTGGCACCAAAGGAGGCTGAAATCATACTTCAGAAAGCTCAATTTGGAAAGGTAACTTCAGGAGTTTCATTACTCCACTGTGGGAGGAAAATAGCCTAGATGAGCAACTAGGGCCCAGAGCACCTCAAAATTTAGGATTCCACAGCCCCTCTTTTTTCGTTTCTATCCACAGGTGAGTACGTAGATTGCCTGGAACCACTCATTGCAGCTGGACTTAAAAGACATATGAAGTAGCCACGGTGTAAGTCATGCTTCAAAATGTAGGCTGGGCACCAGCAGCTGATCAGCTCCGACACAAAGTTTCAGCTTTTATTTTCGAGCACTTGAATAGTATTGTGGTATAACTTTTCTACTGTGGTCTAAAGAAGGGCTAGAAGCTAGAAACATAATTTACCACTAGAGGTTTTCTTTTTCATCTTAATATTTCCATTATCTGACCTCACAATTACAATGTATTTGAGGTTTTTAATTCAATAGTGACTCATTACTATATTAAAATCGAACTGCGAGAAACTGCAATGTAGAAACTAATGCACATTTATCCCTTAAAAGATAGAAATTTTGACCTAATATACTGATTTTGACTAAAAGAAGCATTTTTTTCAATTTCTCAAGCAAACTGTGCATTTTTTCCTCAAAAAACTTACTGAAGATGAACATGAGTCTTAAAACAGTAAAGAAAACTAGAATCTTTAGAATAAGTTACTTAAACTGTATGATGTAAGAATAATTTAAATTATATTGACAGAATTGACATTAGTAATATGTTAAAATGTATAACTGAAGTTATATTTTAGTGTTAATTCTTGACTCCACAAGGTTTAGGTATAGGTGACTATATTAACTAAAGTAAAACTGTAAAATTTCATGTTTAATTTTGACTGAGAACCATACTGTGGAGAACGCAAAGATTCCTTCCTTCCAAACTACCCCTTACAGCAAATGCTGCCATGGAAGTACTTTGTGTTAGAACCCAATACAGGTGAGACCAACATATAAAATTACTAAGATTAAAAGCTGAATCAGTTATACGCAGATTCTGATACACTTCTGCAAGTTAATTTTTTAATTCATAAAATGTACTAACAGAACAAGGATATCAAAACCACATCTTATGATTATGCTATATTGTACCCTGTCTCACATGAGCAATGGATATTAACACTGAAAAACACGCCCGCATGTTAAAGGCAACCATCTATTTTAGCTATTATTGAGTAACCCCATTCTAATTTTCTCAGATTTCCACTGAAGAGGGATATATTTTGAATACGAAGATATCATGCATCATATAGACATCTTTAGCAGCAAGAAAGTGGCACTGAAGATGAATATTCTTAAACAATATTATTTTTATTACTCACATCATGGAATGTTTCTCTCTCAGCATTAAAGCTTTTGAAATACACTCTGAAGGAAGGAAAGCTGGTCTACTTACAGATCAACAGAAGGCATGTGAAGAAGGGTTGCTAAGAATACTTCTTTTGCATATAAGTGAGAGCAATTGGTATCCCATCTGAAAGAGCATGCTACTCTGAGATAGAAAACTCTTGCCACTGGCAAAGTTTATGGTATTAATTTGTAATGGTGGATTTAGGGGAAATGTATTAACTAATGCTCATTTACTTGCACAATTATGTGTTTTCTACATAAAAGGCTTTTGCCCTGCCAATATTGGCACTGAGTTAATGGAAAACAGGACAAAGCAAGTGCAGAAGTATGCCAGTGTTCACAAATGTCAAGCTCAAGTTACAGAGTTTTGAATATTTTCATTGCAGTTTAGCTTTGATTATTAATCTAAAAGGCAAAAAGTTAACCTATATCTTACCTTTTTTGCCACTTCATATGTTAAACAATCTTCATACCTTAAATCTGCTTTAATAAAGCATGCAATTATTAAAGCATTACAGAATGGCCCCAGAGCACACAAGCTCCATTAAATTTGCTTACATCTAATTATGTTTGCCTGAGGCAGGTGAGAAATTGACTCTGATAAGATCTTTCTTTTACCTATAGCCAAAAAACGGAAAGAAAAAAGAAAAAAAAAAAGAATCTTGCAGTGATTTTCTACCTAATTGCTATCTACAAGTATTTATGGTATTTGCTCCTAAAATGAACAGCCCACAAAGTACTCTTTGTGCATCAACTAGTGCATTTTAAGGTTTTTTAAGCCTGTAGAATTACAAAAGACAAGCTTATCTTGCTTTATGGATGAGTGAGGCCATCACTGATGTCTACTCATGAAATAATTTTATATATCATATCATCTAAATCTTATACATTCTTTAAGATAATTTAGAGTTTATTTTTACTTAATTTTGTACAATTAAAGAGAGCTAATTACAAAAAAAACCACAAATGAAACAATGCAAACTTGATGATGAAATAATTCTAATTGGAAAAATCATGGCACATATTTTTGTGGACACTTTTTTCTTTCTGTTAACATAAGCAAAGTAGGTAACATACTTTCTCTTTCTTTTAAAGTACAAAGATGTGCTTTATATGGCCTGCAAATTTTACTTCCTTAAAAAAATATTTTGAGTTATTTTTTCCATTTTAAGAAAGAAGCGTTGTGCAGTAGAATAAGCAGCAGTTAATTCCCCTGCATTTGTAACTGGCTTCCCCCAAAATACAAGAAAACACTATTACATTATCTTGCTTGTAATCTGTAAGTGAATGAGAGAAACTGGCTTTTCTAATCATTCTAATCAGACTTCCAGCACTAACAAATCCTGTGAGAAAAATACTGTGAGACCATCATAGTAGTACTGTACAAAGTGATTAAAGAGTATACCAACTAAAGATGAGCAGAGAAATAAAGAAAGAAAGAATTCATTTTAAAAACAGTCATGCTATGAATTCATGCAAAGTCTACAGAGCTATATTCATTTCTTGTATAACATTTAGGCAGAAATAACTTCACTATAAAGCAGTCTTTAAAGAAGAAAGGAAAGATATTGAGAATCTATTCTGAAAGTTACACAGATAAGCCAGTCATCAGACTTCTAATGCAAGATTACACAACAATTTTTCAGACATACATCTTTAGCCACCCAAGTAGAACTGATGCTCTTGTATCATGCTAGCCATTCTTTGGTAAAATGGGCCACAAAACTCTAGGACCAAGGTCCTTTGGTCACATTTTATACTTAAAGCCTCATCTGATACTCTTACATGAAAAACTGCATAGTGGCCTGAAATGATACATTGCATCATTAGCATGCTTCTGACATGCGTCTCATGGTTACAGAGCATGTCATTCAATAAGCTTTTCTATAAAACTCGACTTGAACGTACCTTCACGTAAAAAAAAAAAATCTTGTGTAACAACTTGCTTCACTATAAAAATCTCATTTTACTAATAAATTGCTTATAAGAAGATGTGTTGATTTTGAGCTCTGGTGTACTAAACAATTACACTGTAAATATCACTAAATACCACTCTTTAGAAGGCAGCAATGAACTATTACTCTTTACTTTACCATATCAAAAGATTGTTGTTATGCAAAATGTTTTGGCCTCACATAATTACATTTTGTTTGATGTTAATTTGTTAAGTTTCTATTAAAACTTTCGCTGTTGTTTTATAATTTTGTCTAGCCACCAGTTTGTATCATCTATAAATGACAACACTGTGAACTACTGAATTATGCATGCGTTTTTACTGAGAATCAAAACTAAACCAAAACAAAAGACTTACTGAGGGAATTTAATGACTACATTAGGAAGAATTACTTCCAGCTTTTCAATGTCTGCACTGGGAAAAGTAGGAATTACATACAGGTAAATTGATTATTCAGATATCTTGATTGTCCTTTAGCCATAGCTCATTTTTTAAAATCATTTTCATGCTCATATTAACATTTATTATTCTAAAATATAAAACAAAATGTCTGTTTCTCTCCGAGGTGCTGTGGACTTGTTCACTGAAGTTTTAACAGACAACATTGCTCAGAATCTGGATACGTACCAAAAGCTGCCACTTTTATGATTATGGCTTGAATGTTGGATGATATCATTTCTTTAAGTAAAATTTCCTGGTTCCGACGCCAAAGATAAGCTAACGGCTGAAGATTAAGCCTTCTGCATCTTAAAAACAACAACAAAAAGTTGGATGAAAGCCAAAAAATATGCTTTTACACAGCACAATTCATTCAAAACTAAAGAAATTTAATTTCTCTGATTTCCTACTAGTAAATAATTTTTCTTCTATAATTTCAATCAAAATGTTACTGTTCCTAGATTCCAGTATACACATTGAGTCTAACATAAGACAAAAAGAAGGAAGCGTATTCTGACTATAATTCACCTATGTAAGTTGTAACTCATTCATATAAATAGAGTTGCATGAGAAACCAAGAGAAAATCCATTTCTAGATCTTTAGGAATGCAAACTCTTAAACAGCTTAGCAGATGATAAATTTTTACACATGCAGTTGAAGGCAAGAGTTACCGCTCTGTGATACATGTGGCACACACAACCGGTGCGATATGCTGAATTTGTTAACGCCCAGCAAACCTGTGATTAGTATCAACACTCAGAAAAAAGACAGCTTAAAAAAAAGTGTAGAAGGAACAATTTGATAATGTCAATTTAATGATTTGGTTTGACACAAATTGTATTTACACAGCGTTTGATAAGTAGCTTCTGGTTGTTTATCATATTAGAGTACCATTAATTGGCACTATTGAAAAGTAACCCTCTGAAAATTGCCAAGAATCATCAGTTGATGATAAAATGTATAATACCTAGATCATGAAAGCCAGAGTTAACTGTCTAACTCAGATCACTCAAAATATTACATTAATTTGTCAGTTATCAATGTTTATATACATAGGATTTCTCATTAGTATTACATAAGTGTGAAGATTTTGTAGTTAAATGGATGCTTAATGCTGACATCTAAATCCATTTATAGCACCCATATAATCTGTTTAGTTTTGCTATCACTTTTGTGTATTTTAACAAAGCACTCAGTAATAAAATTAACAAATATTTAGTAATTCTGAATATCAGGTAATTCACATAGGTGCCTATCTTTAGCTATCAAATTAGCTGAATCCAAATAATCAGGATGGTTTAGGTGTTAGAGCTTCACTGCAAGGCATAAATCTTCAGATTAATGTAAATTTTTACCACCAAGTGACCTTGGAACCAATCAGGTCTGCTGGCAACACTGTGGTATGTTGTCAGTCTTCTGGCCGTGGGAATAAATCTGCGACCCACAATCAGCAAAAAAAATATTTCCTAAAATATCTAGTAGTGTGACCAGGCATTTATTAAAATGTCCTGCTGTTCCTAGATTTTAGTATGTACATTAAGCCTAAAAGAAAAAAAAAAAAAGAAGCTATTTCTGACTGCAGTTTACCTATGTAAATTGAAAAGAGAACACCCATCAGATGTAACTCACTGATGTGAGTAGAGCTGGCATGGCATTAACTTCAATATTGCTGCAATTCATGAAGTGTTCCAGATTTTTTATTCCATTATAAACAAATAGCTAATGAACTCTAACTAAATAATCATTTATTTTTATCACAAGCCAGTTTTGTATTTCATCAGATGTATGCAATTAATACATTTATTTTTTTTAGACCCAAATCAAATCTGGGCCTACACAACACACAATTCCCATCACGTAATACTTTTTTTTGTTGTTGAGACTCTTACAAGAAGCATCGTAGCCTAAACAGAATTAAAGAATTTGCACAGTAGAAATGAGAAATCAAAATTCTTGAGTAATGATTTTGTTTACTATTTCTTTAAGATTTTAAGGAAGTAACATAAGATATAAGAACAGAACATAAGAATTGCCTCGCATTTAACTCCTGATAACAAGTCACAGAATGTTAGATTTGATCACTGGCATGGAGGAGGAATAAATGCTTTCAGCTGTACCTCGTACAGAATTTCTTTAGATCTAGATTGCATATTTTTTAATAATTCTCATTAATAAAGAGTTATAATTTCTGACTCTTCTATATTAAAACTCTGTTGAAAAATACAGATAAAATATAGACTTGACCAGAACATTATTGTCTCTGGAACTGAATAAGCTTCTGGCTGAAATCAAAGACCTGAACCTAACTCCACTATTTCCATGTCTAAACTCTCAATATTTTCAACAGATCCATAGGAAACCTGAAGAGTACTCCAAAAAAAATGTACCCTCTACTGGATTTTCATTAATGATATTTATAAGACATGGTTCCAGAAGAAAAGGTACTTAAATCAGAATATTGAACCACAGAATCACAGAATCATTTAGGTTGGAAGGGACCTCTGGAGATCATCTAGTCCAACCTCCCTGCTCAAGCAGGGACACCTAGAGCATATTGCCCACGATCACATCCGGACGGCTTTTGAATATCTCCAGGGAAGGAGACTCCACCACCTCTCTGGGCAACCTCTTTCAGTGCTCTCTTTACCCCTTTTTCCTCATGTGCAGACAGAACTTGCTGTGCTTCAGTTTATGCCCGTTGCCTCTTGTCCTGTTGCTGGGCACCACGGAGAAGAGGCTG